CTTATAACAGACACTGCTAAAGTGTGTCATATTACAAGATTGTTTTTTATGAATCAGTATTCATTTTTGGTCCACCACTACGCAGCACCACATTGGAGCTTGTTTGACCACACTTTGGACAATGATTTAAGCAATTTTTTTTCCAAAAGTTTATGGTGTTCTGGCACCTACTTTTGAACAGAACTACTCACATACAAAAACAAACCATAAATACAGGAATAAGAAAAAGTAGATAAAGTGGTTAAGGCAAGAAAAACACTCCACTAGTCACCCTAACTTGATTCCAATGGGTAAAGAATTAATCCTACTAAACCAATSTACTTTTCTTCTCAAAAGGTAACTGCCCCAGTGAATGGTGAAAGCAAAAGAAATGACGTAGCTGACTTATAAGAAAGACCTCTGAGACAATCTCCCATGACATTCTTACAAGTAAAGTTGAGAAATGGAGCTTAGATTAGGTTACAATAATGTGGGAGTGCCTTGGTTGGAAATCCATATTCTAAGAGCATTTATCAATAGCTCACTGTCAGACTGGGAGAACATGGTAATGGGGGCTGCCCTGCTTCTAATACTAGTCAATAATCTCATTAATGACTTAGCATAGAAGGTGAAGTAGCAAAATCTAGATGACACTAAGAAGAGAACATAGCTGTTTGGAGGACAGGATACAAATTCTAAATGACCCTGACAAACTGCATAGATGGCATCAAAGTATGCACACACACATAGAGACATATATGTATATCTATATATAAAGTACTGCACTTAGGAAAGAGCAAATAAATGTGAAGAGTGACAATGATAACAATTACATGCAGTTGTAGTTATAATAGTAAATCAATTTAATGCAGCAGGTTAGCTACCAAGCCAGGCCCAACTGCATCTGAACAGGTATGTGCCTTTTCAACCACTCATCAGAGAAAAAAGGCAACACGAAAGTACCAACAGGCTTCACTTCCGCATTCTGGAACTTAGTACAGTCTCAAAGTAAAGATTTTTCCCTTAAACACTGTCAGTCTATCCATGTTTTTACAAACTTATTAAACGAGTTACAGAATGTATTCATTCTGAGCTAAATGATAGCTTAACAGAATTGAAATATGTTTAATATTCTTCATCATAGAAAATTTAACTTAAAAACAAATGGTAAAAATTTTAAAGGCATCATTGCTGAGCTGATTAGTAAACTAAAATTTTAGAGTAGTAGTGAGATGCTAGCAAACTTCCTGAGGAGTTTTAATTTGCATTGTTTAAATAAATGGAGAGGAGGAACTAGGAAATTAAATTTTATGCAACATATCACCTCTTGAAATCAAAATTTGAAAGGTTCAACCAAAGGTTTTGCTGCGGTGCAGCATGTTTGCTGCTTTGATCATCGATCCAAGGCTTTCACAAGATATTGTCAAAGACTACTTGTGACCACACATATGTTTTGGCTTCCTCTGTTGAAGTGTGATAGCAGCGAATAAGAGCTGCCCCCAAAGCTGGCTTATGTTAGTCCTTCTTCTAATGTCTGAGGCCTCCAAGTAAGATTAACAATCCTTAGGASAGCAAGTATCAACAATTTCTATTTGGTCTCTTCATATGGGAAGGAACAAGAAATCATTTCCTGCCAGTCAGCTCAGTAGTTCTAAATATCCAGGAACTTTTCCGCTGGGATAGGAGTAAATTCCTACATTTCTTTCCTTTGCCCTTCTCCCCAAGTGCAGTAAGATATAATGCATTTACTTTGGCCTGCTACTTTCAAGGTCTTTAATGTGGCTTYCTACATCCTTTGTATTCTACAATTAAATGTAGTAAACTGATAGGTTTTCACCAATTGCAAAAGTATTGATAGGAAGCCAGAAATCTTATTGCGAAAAAACTAACATTGTTCAATCCGTCACAGTAGCCAATTACATACATGTTCTAGGCCCTTCAGAGATGCAATGTAAAGCTTAAAGCAACCCTTTCACTTGTTGAGAAATCAATGTATCTTATCCTGCGCTTGCAATGGACTGAAGTGCATGAACAGTCAGATACTACAGCAAAGTCTTTTCTGTATCCATCCGACCTACATTTTCCAAAGAGTTTTTCCTCGGGTCATTGAATTTGTCCTAAGTCCTTACTTAACTCTGTGACCCTTGTGAAATCATTTTGATTCTCCACCTCCCACTTCTGAAGTTATCTTCTATTGTTAAAATAATTTTCTTTTCTAACAGCTACTTCCAGAGCCAACCTGCTGTTGAACAGTGCACAAACACTGCTGCTACCTGGCCTTTAAAAGGGTCAAGAGTTTTTTGCATCTCGGTAAGTGACAGACTGCCCATCACACCAAGGACTTCATTATTCTTCAGAGGAGTCAGCTACCTCTACTCAGCTCTGGTGAGGCCGCACCTGGAGTACTGTGCTCAGTTCTGGGCACC